CCAGTATGAAACTGTGTGTTGATCACAGCTGTGATTTAAGGTTTTGATGGGCAGAAGAGAAACTTTTATTTTGAAAAGTTTTATTGTGCGGCAGCGTTTTTATGTTTGGTTTTGACTGCCTTAAAAATGGTGCTGGCGGGTGTTTCTGGGTTTGGGTGAGAAGATTCCGCTGTTGTTGGACCGTTCTGAGGCTGGTTCAGGACAACAGACACAGGACAGGTGTTTTCTTGTCAACTATCAGAAAATTAGGGTTAAAATTTGTCGTCAAAACTTGACGGAAATGTATATTAATAGAGAACAGAAGTTCAGCTGCTGTGATGTAGCCATGAGGTTTAGCTTTTTTGTTTGGTTTGCGCTTGAACAAATCATTTTCCTGGTGAGACGATGCTGCATGGTAACTGTTACCTACGTCTGTCACCTGTTACCATCTGACAGCAGGTTTACGTCGATATTGTAGCTCCTTATTTCATTTATTTCAGGCTACATGTGGTAGAGTTTCCCACAAGTGCCTGTGTAGTCTGAGCTAAATCCAGATCTGGGTGTGGCAGCAGAAAGAGCTACTTGGGGTATTTTAGTCTGTGAGGATGCACAGCTGTGCACAGAGGAGAAAATTGAATTTTTACAGGCTTTACGTCCAGGGTTGTTATTATCGTCCATACACTGCCTGCGTAACATGGAAAGTGAAGCCTGTCGAAGCTCAATAGAAGGAGGTTTTAGCCACCAGGGGGCGAGTCTGTTCATTTGATTTTTCTTCTTTGACAACAGCAGCAGCAGGTTATCGGTTCATACGTGAGTGAGGTTCAATCCCAGTCTGCTGTTTGTTTTGGATGGCAGAGTAAATGGTACTGTTCAGTTCTTTCTAACAACAGTTGTGTCCTCATATTGTCTCCGTCCGTCTGTGGTGTCGGCCTCAGGGTCAGGAAGTTCACCACAGGTTTCTACCTTTTCATTCTCCTATTCTTCTGCAGAATCACTCTGTAAACTGTGGCAGTGACTGAGGAGAAAACTCTCTGCGCTGTGGTTTCACCAGGTCACGGTGTAAACCAAGAAAGGAAAACAGAAACTTCAGGCGGCCAGGTGTGTGTGTGCGCGTGTGTGTGTGTCCTCAGCCGGCTCAGTGTCCAACATCATACAGTGTCAGAGTTAAAGTTATTCTTCTTAATCACTGAATGTGGAACAAATCCATCCGTTCCTTCTTTTCTCTTCTCTTTTCCTTGTTTTGCGTCACCCCCTAGTCTGTTTGGCGCCCCCCAGAGGAGGTGAGCCTCACTCTTAATCCATTAGTATTGATTATAGTATAGCACATATAGATTTCCCAGATTAATATTTGTACAGACTTCACGGTTGGTGGTCCCGGCTCCAGCTCCACATCAGTTTGAGGGTCTTTGATGGTGGTTTTATCAAAATTATAATTTGAATCATAATATTAATACATAAGTAGCTCATGATTGGTTGGTGTTTTAGCTCTAAAAATAAAGTCATGTCTTTTGTATATAATTCGAACAAAACAATAACAAGAATAATTTATAATAAGTTGTTGACGTTGAACCTGGTGGATTTGTGTTGACTGGTGTGGTCAGTCTGACAGTTAGAGGTCACAGTCACCACTCAGAGCCTCAGACAGAGGATCGTCTACTGGTGTACACACACACACACACACACACACTCACACACACACAGACAGACAGACAGACAGGAGACGATCACCGTGGTGGTTCTCAGCCATAATTACCATCAACTCATCAACTGGGTCAGCTTGGCTTTGGGGGAAAGGTTTTCACAGCAGACACAAACAGTCCTGGCTGAAACAGACAAGTGAAACATGAGCATCATTTTATCATCTGTCCACAGACGCACAACACAGACGCACAACACGCACACACACAAAGTGGAGTGGAAAAGATTATCTGTGGTCCAGTTGGTGCACTCCACGGCTTCAGGATAAAAATATATATTACTTTATCACTTAACTGATTTGTGTGTGTGCATGTGTGTGTGCATGTGTGTGTGCATGTGCATATTTGTGTGTATGCATTAGTGTGTGTGTGTTTGTGTGTGTGGTCAGTGACAGCAGACTCATTGTCCTACAGAAAAAAAGCACTAAACTAAACCATAAAACCAAATGTGTTTTTGTGAAGCTGCAGATGTTTGTCTTCAATGTGTGTGTGTGTGTGTGTGTGTGTGTGTGTGTGTGTGCAGACTCTTTTCCAAAGTTCCCTGAGCGTATACATGGGTGTAGGTGTGTGTGCTGTAGGTTAGACGTGTGTGTGTGTGTTTGTGGTCACTGGTGTCTTTATTCCTGACCACAGACACAACCCAGTCTGAACAACTCTTTCTTTCTTTCTGCCTTTTTTTTTTTACCTTTTTTTAACAACTCTTTGTCTGATTTATTTTTAACCTTGTTTTAGAGGATGGACTCCTTTTAGGTCAACATTACGTCTGACTTTTTAATGGCTCAAACCTTTAAAGACTTTGTGAAAGGTCGTAGTGTGTCCATCTGAGAAGTTCTGTTTGGTTCCAGTCTCTGTCCTGGCGTCACCTTCAACACTTCTGTCTGCTCCTGGAGCCGACTTCTCTGTTTGAGTTCAAAGACTCTGCAGCGTGGCCGCAGAGGTCCTACTCACTTCAACTCCCAGCTCTTTGCTGCCGTTGGTCTGGTTCACTTTGAACAGTAACTTGGTTAAATATGATTCACAGTTGTCACCTGACGTTGGCCTAAAATATTTGTTCTTTAAAAACTAGCGGTGCCAAAAATATGAACCCTTTTAGTCACATGATTGTTACATAGTTGACTGACATTTAATAACAAATTATAGATTTTATATAGATTATAGATTATATATAAAGATGTGTTCAGATGAATGTATAGATTATTGGATCAATTATTAATTAATTTCACAAATGTATATATATATATATTTATATATGAATGTATACATGTGTATACAGTATATTTTACAATAATTCATTGTGATTATTCTTTGTGTGAGGTGATTGCACATACGCAGACAAATGCTAATGAAAGTTAGCCATTGAGAATTCACAAGTAGAGACAGCAACGTGTTGAGGAAACTACGTTGTTTCCCTTTTGGTTTTTCTTTGTTGCTTACCGTATCTGTTGGACACACGTCTTTGTCCAAATATGCTACTGTATTGAAGTGGAGCGGTGTTAGCTCTAGCCTTCATCGTATTGGAGTTTGTGGTGTTTGTGGTTTTCAGGTGGTTGAATCAGTCAGTTGTGTTGTCAGTTGCGTTGCCCTGTGGCGCCAACACAACTCTACAACACTGCATGTCATTTCTCTCATCTCACTCTCACATTACTGACTACATTTGAGGTTGCCCTTGTTGCTCACTGCAGGGAGCACTTATTTCTTAATTAGGGCACCTTTTGGTTTTGCCCCCTGGTGATTGGCTGAGAATTGGTCGAGAAAGTGCTTGATTTCATCTGCGAATTTTTAAGTGTTAATATCACTGACTATCATCTTAATTTAACGGTGTCAGCCAAAATTGTGATCATGATTAAAATTCTATTAACTGTGCAGCCCTAATATATATGTATGTGTGCTTGTGTAATTATATGTAAATACAAATGCCTAATTTGACACTATTACTATAAACTTTAACAATTGAATGCATTAAAAAGATATTGACTGCGTATTGCACAGACTGACCAAACATGCGGAGGGCGTGACTGGTTTGAGGCTCAGCGTCCCTCACAGACAGAAATAGTTTGAATGCACATTGAATAAAAATATGTCTTCCGGCCGTTCATTCCATGACATAAAATTGATAATGTTAGGGTTTTTTTTTTTTTTTTTTTGTATTTTCTATCAAAGGAAACACAGCAGACATAATCACACAGTTCGTCCAGCGTCTCCTCAGGAATTTGTTCTGTTGTGACCACAGAGGGCCACTGCAACGCCTTTACATGGAAAATACAACAGGAAGTGATGTGAAGTTCTGTGACCTCACCAGAGAAAACACCTCGGGTTTTTAGACTGTGACCAGAATGATCAGCATCCAGACGGGTAGGTGTGGAAGTGGAGGTGGGGGTGAGAACACAACCACGATGAACTGCTGATGTGTGTAGAGAAAACAGAGGAGGAGACATCACTGTTGGTTTAGATGGTAAAATGAAAAAGGTCAGACAACAATGACCGCTGACTGTGGACTAATACTAATAATAATAATAGATAGAAGGGTCGACCTGTGATGAGTTCCATCTGTTTACAAACAATTCAAAAGAAACAGGGATGTGACCCAGTGATGTCCAAATCTTAGTTTTTGGACCAGTTCCTGAATGAGTTGCTGTTTTTAACAAATTCAACAATGTTTGTCGCTGATGACACTAAACATCTTTCCTTTAGCTGAAGTCACAGACTGACTGTAGAAAGTGTAGAAGTGTGTGGTTTGTCACACACAGGGGCAGACACACACAAAGGTCATGGTTTCAGAACCTAACCTCAGCCCAGGCCTCAGCCGTGTCCTCAGTGACTCGTGTTCTGGGAACTCACTGGAGAGGTGCTGACTCAGCAGCTGAAGTCAGACTCATCGGTGTACAGTACAGACCCCAGGTCAGGCATCATAAATCATGCTGTCAGATTAAATCATAAAGATGGAGCTCAGTCACTGACCACTGACCTCTGTGACCCTGCTGATCCAGGACACAGCCACAGGTCAGCACTTTCAACCACCGTGGTTTTACACCAATTATAAAAATAGTTATAAAAATGTATTCCCTAACAGAAAAAAAAACAATCAATTCTCACGTTTATGGATTGAAGAAGAACCTGGAGAACATCTCCACCCAGCGGGAGAACTGCATT